AAAGCGCTTCACGGGATAGACTGTAAAGTGAATTGACCGTATATTTGCGGGCGAAACGCAGCAGCCAATTGCACACAGCAGTGTCCCACAAACAGTCGTGAATTGAAAATGACTAATTTATTATTGTTTTGTTTTGGAGGGAAACTTGCCCAAGGTTTCGCCCTGCCTGGAATTGAACCCAGGTGTCTCGCTTGCAAGACAAGTACTCTACCCACTGAGCTACAGGACTCCATATTCAAATGCAATTATTATTATCATACTACCAAAAACATGTATACTGATTTCTGTTAAAATATGAGTCTCTTTACGACTGTACACCATAGTGCGAACATTTACTGTATCGGAACATACCTATGAATACACACTATTCCTTATTTATGATGTTTTAGTGCACATTCAAGTTGTTCTATTTTGCTAGTAGAGCTCAGAGCAGAATGATGTGAATGGCTACATTAGCTGATGGGAGTTAAATGGCAACAATCACCCCTCCATGATGAACACTTAAAATTTTCTTGAAACATCTTACAAATAAATCCTTTGCAACCCATGCCATGTGGGACACATGGAGCTCAACATTGCTTTAGTTTGGTTGATTTCTGCTGGTTGCAAATGGCTTGGTAGCTTCACGAATTACACTTCCTCCAAGTTGATACACTACTACGCTGATGTCTATGTGTGACTAAAAGAATGATAAAAGACTGTGTACAGCACTAGAGTTAATGGCTCACTAACATTTTAGAAAGAACCACATATCATGCAGCTAAATACACTTAGGTCTTTCATAACATTTTCAGATTCCTACCCATAATTTGCATTAATGGTGTAATAATGTCACTACAATAATCATGGCACAAAATTATAGGAAATGTTATTGATGTATTTATTCTGAAATATTTCAGCTGTTAACCCTGCAATTTTTTTCAGAGATTTAATTAGAAACCCAAAATTGATCAATTTAATGGAAATAGAGCAACGTGCATGCTAGCGTATATGAGCTCACAGTATCTCTTTTCTTTGGTTAGCCGAATGTCTGACACATACAGAAACTCTCACCGTGCTTAAGAGTATCCAAACCAGACTCAAGAGCTCTACATGTAACATTTCAGAAAGTATAATTTTAATAAAGCATTACTTTCTGGAAAGATGAAAATGTATTCTTGTAAAAATCAATGGCCAACATGGGACCCACAACCCTATGACTCAGAAATGAGAGTGCAACCAACTGAGCAAGACTAACGGCTGTAGTATAGTACTAAGGGACATAGGAAAATAGAAAGAGGCCATTTGGCCCACCGAGGCTGGTCCACCAGTTTCTTAAATCTCGGCATATCTTTTAATCCTGTATCGTAACCATTTGTCATACTCCTTAATACATCCTTTGTTTTTACTCAGCCAGGTGTGTGACACATGTGGAAACCCATCCCCATACTTAAGCGTATCCAAACTAAACTAAGAATTCCATGCATCCTGCATCCCACCTACACATGGAAATCCCAGAAATGGATTGTTGGAATGGAATGTGTGCACTCTCCCTGGAGGGAAGCATCCTGATTATTAATTTTGGAAAATTTCAGGTGCAGGTTGGCAAAACCCAAGTCTTGGGCATCCCAGAGTGTATGTTGGGGTACTGCTGGAGTCTAACCAGCTAAAACCACATAGCTTGCCATTGATATTGCTGTTTGACAAGCTTTCCTGCTGCTTGTCCAGCTAGAACCGCCCTACCCACCAGGGCTTTGGCTTGTAGGGTTAACAGGAGCTGAATGGAGTGACTTCCTGCCCCTCGTGAATGCTCTACCCTTACAAATCTTGCTGATGAGCTAGGCTGCCTGTGCTGTCATCTGCAGTGCGTTGGAATACTGCGGATCCGCCTGACTCAGGAACCAGACGACTGAGACCCCTACAGAGGGCTCGCTCGATGCCAACATTCAGTTGCCAAACATCTCACCTTGGAACCAGTTCAGCTCCAATGAGATCCTGCTTACCTCCTAAGGACGATAGTCCGTAGTTGATCTTTTGACATTCGACAAGTGAGAGTTTGATTCCTCACTAGCTGGATGGTAGTTACCAGTAACTCCCTGCGAGCTTCCCAGTGGGCAATACATCTCACCATGAAACGTGTGAGAGCATTGCAACTGTCTTCCTGTCAGCAGTAGCACATCGAACTTAGTACCAAAGTATTTATCTACCTCTCTTTTAAATATATCTATTGATTCTACCTCTACAACTTTCAGGAGCAGAGTGTTTCACAGCTTCAAAACCCTCTGTGTGAAGAAATGCATCCTGACCTCAGCTCTAATTGTCTTACCTCTCTCTGTATGTAAGGCTAAATGCCACCTCGTAATGAATATTTTAAAAATATACCCTTGGAACTAAACATGTATACTTAGCTATATTAGAAAAGTCAAATAAAGAGAACTGAGCTTTAAAGCTTGTGACACTATGTTGTATTCCAAGGACTGCTACTAAGTGCACAAATTTGTACTGCCGAGAAGATGGGCGTTATTGCGTTGGTCCTCTTTGAGCCAGATTTACTTTTAATTTCACATATTTGTTCCCAGGCTGACTCCAATCCCAGTTGCAGCACCTTCGCTGCTCTGTCAGTCCAGGTTGACAAATGTCTCTCATCTCTATTACTATTATGCAAGTACTCAGTGCCCAAAATCTTAAATTTTAAAATAATGCAAATTTGGGGGAAAATTCTTGATTTCAGTTAAATTTGTAAGACATTTCTTCTGGAAATCTTTTGAAGACCTGCGGAAGAACAGCCTTCTGAATTAAGGTGATTAACGAATTTTCCAAAATTCCACACAATCTTACATTTTAAAAAATGAACTGAAGGCTGAATCACAAGTTAGCTTGTGCTGTACCAGGAACTGATCAAACCTTTACAGTCTGGTGGTGTATCAAGTTCTAGTTATCCTCATTTCTGGATATCCAGGGATATCTGTGTCCACTGCTCATACACCAGGCTCAAAATTCAAACCATATACTGATTTGAATTCACAGTATCAAAATGTTGATCCTTCTAGGATGGAGCCAGAATATATGGGAATGCTCATCACTAGTTTCACACCATATCATTGATTACTGTACCATTCAGTGTTTTACTTGGGGAGTTATAACACTACTTACAGCAGTCTGGAGCACACAGAAGAAACTACCCTCACAGTTTTACAGAGTTTTTCTCCTATATGTTATTATGCCAACGATCCATCCCTATTTCCACCTTGTGTATGTTGGCTTCAGAAGCAGATGACATGGGATAAGTGCAGTTGCATTCCAGTTCACACTAAGCAGAATTTGTAGCCAAAGTAATCTCGTTCCAACCTTAAAATCAGTAGCGCATCCGTGTGAGTCAGTAAATGATGCAATGAAAGTAAATGTAATGAAGTCCTTATATTAAATGAAAACTCGCCAATTTTTTGGGGGAAAAAATAATCCCTTGCAATTCTCAATTGTTAACCAATGCAGGTCAGAGTTGAATTCTAGTGAGTAAGTATTGGTGTTCGGCATAAAACATCGTAGGGAGTACGGTAACTGGCAGTTTTACTCTAACCATTTTTCTACAAACCTGAAGAACATAAGTCACGAACTGAAAGATTATCCTCTGATCGATGGACACACCAATCAATACTGCTTCACAATTGCCCCAGAAATTGGAAGGCAGTTTCAACAGTTAAAACTGGAGCAGAGTAACACAATTTCTATCACTTATTAATAAAATAAGTATAGTCTAACCAGTTTCAAAATCAGGTTATGCAGTTTTTAGTCTTTCGTTTTCAGTTTCACAGTTAATACTACCAGAGTAATTGTTTTAAAATATAGAGGTATAGAGGGGCAAAGTTGTTGCATCCGTTCAATAGTAATAATCAAGAGCTATTCTGCTACACAACCAACTCTGACTCAGAGGTAAAGCATTTGTAATTTGAGTTATTCTTTAAATAACATTCAAAACCACAGAATTTTTCAAATGTATCTTCAATATAAATTACAGTGTATTATTACAAAGAAAATTCTCCTGTTCAGAATCAGAACTTTTTTAAACGATGTAACTTGTCATTGTATAAAAAAAAACCAATGAGACAGATTAATTGGCAGGTTCAGCAAGTCAGGTCAGGCTTGACTACATTTTACACAATACCGCTTTTGTATTAACAATTTCCTTTCATTTGTAACCATCATCGCAGGCAATGCAGGCATAGAGGTTTTGTTCTCTTCAACTCTGGCTGTGAATTATGTGTCAATCTTTCCACACTCAAGAGTAACCTGAATTGGTGTAATACCAGAAATATCACACACACAGACAGCAGAACACTTAAAAAACTTTAACAGAGAGGATAAGATCTGCCCTCAGACACAAACATATAAAAAAAATCATATCAATGATCCCTTACAAAAGAAAGTACGTGGCAATAAATTATGAACTTAAAAGACAAAAGACAAATAAACAGTAAAATGCCAGAATGGCACAAGTGAAACTAACATCTGCTAGAAAATGTCTCAATGCTTCTGGTGAATCCCTTCATAAGAATTGTAACAGTGAACTGGAGAATTGCTTTTTTATAGAAAAGAGTAGAATCATTTTAAACAAGAAGTTACATTTGCATTTCAAAATCTGTCTGCTCTTACTTTCCTCCTTCCCACAAGGAGCCCCTTTTTCCCTCCCAAACCAACTTTTGCAAGTCAGATCAACAGTAACACGGCAGAAACAATAACCTACTCGTGTCCACAGATATCCATTATCTATAGCTGTGTTTCTTTGATTCAGATCTTCAGATTCAGAAGCTGCGGTTCTTCTGAGTATCTCTACATTATGCTCAACTGCTTATGTTGAGCTCTGCTCGACAAGGAGTGAGGGGAAACAGAATGAAACTAAGAAGGAAAAGTCTTTCTCCGTGAGTTGGTTGCTCTGATTTCCATCCTGTGGAAGTCAAAGTGATCCTACCTGGTGATAATACCCACTCCAGCAACCCCTCCATCGCTCGCTCTGTGTGGTTTACCTGATCTCCTGACTCCAATGATTTTTCCAAGTGCTTCTCCTTGTAAAGGGACCACAGACCAACATTTGGAAGGAAAACCAGCGCCACGATAAACAGTCCGATCATCTGCAGAAACCTCTTCTGCTTTCGCTTCATCCCGGATTGGCAACTTTTCCTCAGCAATTCGGCCACTTCCAAATTACCTTCTGGTGCTACTTTGAGCAAAGCCTTTTACTCTCTTCTGACAGCACCGGACAGGGAGACAGAGACACGGAGAGAGGGAGGACAGGGAGCTCCAGCACCGCTGCTGAGAACAGTAACTGCCAGTAAAGAGGAAAACCAGGGTGTCCTTGCGCCTGCGACCTGCCACAAGAAACAACAACAAGTTTGGATTAATGTGCATTTCTTCAATTCTGGAACTGAAATATACAGAGAGAATTTTGAGCATTGGGTGCAAAACCTTTGGCACAGAATGAAATAAGACATCTGCGGGACTGGTTATTTTGCAAAACTTTTGTTTCTAGAACACACGTTATGTATGTGCGCGCGTGTGTGTGTGTGTGTGTGTGTGTATATGTATTGTATGTCAAACTGAAGTGTAAACTCGCAGCTATCTCGCTCTGCTTTGCGCTCACTTTCACCCCCCACCCCTCCCCCACCCCCACCCCCACCCCCACCCCCCACCCCGGGCAGAGATGTGGGTGAGAGTGTGGTTTGAATGCCACAGAACAAAAGGGGGGGCAGAGCCATCCGAGAGTCGCTGTGTTTGGTCTCCCCGCCGCTCCCCCTCAGCCTCACTTACCTCTCTCTAGGACGGCAACACTGGCACAGACACAGGCACCGCCTGCAAACACCTAACTCTCCATTCATTCAACTGAGCAGAGAGAGGGGGAGAGGGAGAGGGAGAGGGAGAGACCCCGACCACTGGCCACTTCCAACAGCCGCTGCCTCTCTCCACAGCTGCCCACGTCTGGTGTTCCTGCCACTCACTCCCCCCCTCCCTCCCTCCCTCCACAGCTAATCTCTAATTCCTTATCCCAAAGGCATTCTTTAAAATAAAAGCATATATATATATACATATATATATATATATAAATGTACATATAATATTATATATGCATCAAACAGGAGAGAGACAGAGAGAGACAGAGAGAGACAGAGAAATAAAATCCCTACGGATTCAAACAAAGATCAGCCCATCAGTGAGAGGAGAGAGAGAGAGAGAGAGAAAGAATAAGAGCAAATCATCTCCACTCCAAACCGATTGCCTTCAGAAAAAGAACACGGACACGAGGCGGCGGCTTCATTCAACCACATCCTCTGCTCTGTCTGTCTGTCTGTCTGTCTGTCCCTCTGGGGTTTATATAGACTGTAATATCCCAATCTCTGCTGCCTGTTAACACGTGGACTCGCTCCCCGCCACAGCCAGGACTGACCGGGACACACACCTGAACACTGTGTGTGAGCAGAGCGGTGCAGAGGCCATCTGCCATCTGCCATCCCTCTCTCTCTCCTCACCCCCACACACTCTCCTCACCCCCCCCACCACACACACTCTCCTCACCCCCCCACACACACACCCACACACTCTCTGTGTCTCACCCCCCCCCCACACACACACACTCCTCACCCCCCCCCCCACACACACCCACACACTCTCCTCACCCCCCCACACACACCCACACACCCACACACTCTCCTCACCCCCCCCACACACACCACACACCCACACACTCTCCTCACCCCCCCACACACACACACCCACACACTCTCCTCCCCCCCCCCCACACACACCCACACACTCTCCTCACCCCCACACACTCTCCTCACCCCCCCCCCACACACACACCACTCTCCTCACCCCCCCACCCACACACACTCTCCTCACCCCCCCACCACACACACTCTCCTCACCCCCCCCCCACACACACACCCACCTCACCCCCCACACCCACACACACTCTCCTCACCCCCCCCACCACACACACCCCCACACACTCTCCTCACCCCCCCCCCACACACACACCCACACACAGTCTCTCCTCACCCCCCCCCACACACACTATCCTCACCCCCCCACACACACCCACCTCACCCCCCACACACACACACACCCACACACTCCTCACCCCCCCCCACACACCCACACGCACTCTCCCCTCACCCCCATACACCCCCACACACTCTCCCCTCACCCGCATACACCCCCACACACTCTCCTCACACCCACACACCCACACACTCTCCTCACCCCCACACACACTCTCCTCACCCCCACACACTCTCTCCTCACCCCCACACACTCTCCTCACCCCCACACACTCTCTCCTCACCCCCACACACTCTCCTCACCCCCACACACTCTCTCCTCACCACACCCCCACACACAGTCTCTCCTCACCCCCCACACAGTCTCCTCACCACACCCCCACACACAGTCTCTCCTCACCCCCCACACACTCTCCTCACCCCCACACACTTTCCTCACCCCCACACACTCATCACCCCACACACACTCTCCTCACCCCCCACACACTCTCCTCACCTCCACACACACTCTCCTCACCTCCACACACACTCTCCTCACCCCCCACACACTCTCCACACCCCCCACACACTCTCCTCACCTCCACACACACTCTCCTCACCCCCCACACACTCTCCTCACCCCCCACACACTCTCCTCACCCCCACACACTCTCCTCACACCCCACACACTCTCCTCACACCCCACACACTCTCCTCACCTCCACACACACTCTCCTCACCTCCACACACACTCCTCACCCCCCACACACTCTCCTCACAACCCACACACTCTCCTCACACCCCACACACTCTCCTCACCTCCACACACACTCTCCTCACCCCCCAAACACTCTCCTCACACCCCACACACTCTCCTCACCACACCCCCACACACTCTCCTCACCCCCCACACACTCTCCTCACACCCCACACACTCTCCTCACCTCCACACACACTCTCCTCACACCCCACACACTCTCCTCACCACCACCCCCACACACTCTCCTCACACCCCACACACTCTCCTCACACCCCACACACTCTCCTCACCCCCACACACTCTCCTCACACCCCACACACTCTCCTCACCCCTTCCCCCACCACACACTCTTCTCTCCTCAACCCACACACAAACACACTCTCTCCTCAACTTGGTAGATGGCAATCAGAAGAAGGACAATGGGGTGGTGATGGCGGTGGGGGTGGGTTTGGGGAGAAACAGGGCCCCCCCCACCACCACAAACTACTTTATACAAATTTAACCCATTGAGAAGTGATTCCCATCGGTCTGTCCTATCTATCTCCTGGTTGTTAGTCAATTGGTGGATCCGTTTTCCGGGGGCAATATTTTCTTAAAAAATAAAAATAATAAATTGGTCATTTTCAATCCACGACTGTTTGTGAGACAGTGCTGTGCGCAATTGGCTGCCGCGTTTCGCCCACAAATATACGGTCAATTCACTTTACAGTCTATTCTGTGAAGCGCTTTGAGATGTCCAGAAGGCATGAAAAGCGCTATAATAAATGCAAGGATTATGATTATCATTATTATATTCTGCAAAGCTCTTTGAGGCTATCTGTCTGTCTGTCTGTCTGTCTGTCTGTCTGTCTGTCTGTCTGTCTGTCTGTCTGTCTGTCTTCTCTCCTCCCACTCCTCCTCTCCCTCCCTGGGGAGTGGAGGGAGTTTGCATGTTTCCAGTGGAGATGCAAGTACCACACACACACACACACACCACTCACACGCACACCGAGCAACAAGAAGGGACTGGCGCGGGCACCACAGACCTGTTTTTTTAATTAAATTTAATTTTGCTCATCAATAAAAAAAACATACACACGCAAGAAGCAGCCAGCAACAAATAGGAGAGTGCGATCTAATGGCACAAGCAGAGAGAGTGAACGTACCAGGGTGTGTGTGTGTGTGTGTGTTTAAGCGATGCGGGTGGTCTCTCTCTCTCTCTCCGGATTGAATTTGTGGGACCAGCGATGTTGCTGTGCATTTATTGCAAACAACGGGGTTGTTCATTGAAGGCAAACAAACCTAAAAATGCAATGCTAAGAATTGCTTTTTTTTTCTTTCGGTGTAGAGAGAGAGAGTGCAGAGAGAGAGAGAGAGAGAGAGAAAAAAGGTGGTGCTCTTTGGAATCGTCGCCTGAGACGCTTTTGACATATGTGATGGTTTTGCAAGTCTGCGTCTCACTCCCAACCTCCAAACCTCCTGCCTTTAAGTCTCCACCGACCACTTCGCTTTGCAAAGCTCTCAACTCGCCCGTCCATCCATCCGCCTGTCCGACACCCTTTGCATTTTGTTTGCAGCTCGGTCCGTTCGGTTAGACCAGACACACACCTTCCCCCTCTGCTCATGGCTTCACTGCTGTTTCACTGCTATTTTAAATGCTGTCTCTCTCTCACTCTCTCTCTCTCTCTGTGGGTTCGTCAATAAAAATGCATCGCACTCGTGTGTGTCAAATACGATCGGAGATGAGAAATGCAGAGCAAAAGCGTGAGCCCCCACAAGGTTTCGAAAAGTCACGTTTTAACGTCACTTTCTAGGGGAGAAAAATGGATGGATCGGTGGGTTATATTCTGCAAAGCCTCTATGAAGTGGGTGCTCTGTGCATGCCCTGTGTCCACGCAGAATCCACACTGTAGACTGCATTTGCTGCAGTAACGTGTCCTGCTCCACGATGGAGCCAAACACACACAATTAATTCCAAAGCTGCCTCTCGGTTTTGTGTGTGTCTGTGTCTATCATTGACCCAAAGATGCACATCAACTGTTGTTTCAAACAATGGATCAGTCAATTGCATTTGACTGCACCCTTATTCCATTACAAAAACAACAACAGGTTGTGTGCAAATAAAGTCAACTGAAGAATAAATAAACAAGAATTGATTCTCCCAAATTCAGTTAAATGCTTTGAAAAAATCAAGTTAGCCTCAAGGCAATAGAGTCCGCTTAGCATTGCAGTTAGAACTCTCGCCTCACAAGCGAGAGCATCGGGGTTCGATTCCCAGGTGGGGCAAATCTTTAGGCAAGTTACTTCACTCCACATGCCTCTATGTACTTAGCAGAAAGTAAGATAGTCGATCACTGGATTGTTTTCTGGGATTAATAATCCCTCCAAAAAAAAACATTCCCTCACTCAATCCACAACTGTTTGTGGGACACTGCTTGCACAATTGGCGGCTGTGTTTCACCCACAAAATACACATTCAATTCACTTTACAATATATTCTGTGAAGCTATTTGAGAAGTCGCAACAACATGATAAAGTGTTATATCAAAGATCATTATTATTATAGTTATGCTTGTATGTTTAGAACCAAAAGCTCACCCTATCTATTATTATTATATATTGCTGGGAATTCAGTAGAGAATAAGTGATGGCCAATCCCAGTGATTTACATATAATCTTTGACCCCAAAAGCCTTTTGCATCAGGAAAGGGAACACAATCTCATCTTTTCCTATTATTTAATACTTGTGGAATATAATTTAGAGCTTAGTTTATACTGCCGGAAGCAAAGTGATGTTGCTTCCAATGGAGCGAAATGGAGCAGGAAGCCTGATTTGACACTTTCAGTACTCACATAAAACCCCCCACAAATTTCAGAGTTCTCCACATGTGCACAAAGATACTATCAGTGTTTTAATAATAATACGCGCTATTCAATTTGGGAGGGTGTCTCAAAGTGCATCACAGGATTTATTGTACAGTATTGTTTGTGACTGTGCATTTTGTAGGTGACTGCAGCATTCAATGTGCACATTGCAATGTCCCTCAAACAGCCAAGAAATAACCAGCTCTCAAACCTCACATCCGTGCTCTCACTTATCCAGCTTT